ATCATAGTAACATATATCTACTATTTTTTTTATTAAATCATAGGAAATCTTTTACTATTAATATAGTATAAAGATTTTAAAAGTTATTTAACATCCTACTGATTAGTTTGAGGTAAATAAGCTGATTGCTTGGAGAAACTATAGATTAATGTACATATTTGACGGTATTAAAATCTATATAAATAAATAAAATTGGAGTGTCTGTTTATAATATTGAAATAACCGTTTTATACATACATGTATGTATATATATGAATATGTTTACGGCATATACATAAAAAAACATTTTTTCAAATTTTTGTCTGTCTGTTTGCCCACCTATTTGTTCCGGTTAATCTCTGAAATGGCTGGTCCGATTGTGACGAGACTTTATTGACAGGTAGTTGATGTAATAAGGAGTAATTTAGACTACTTTTTATCCCGATCCCGAAATTAAGTGTTATCACGCGGGAGTGGGTTTCAGGTTTTATTTTTTCCATTTTTTACGCAGACGAAGTTGCGGGTAACAGCTAGTTTGTTAATAAAATGTAACTTTTTTGAATAGAATTATTAAATGTGAGTAATAAGTTAAAACTTCAGACTATCGAACCTATTGGCGGTGAATGGACAAGCTTAAGAATTATTTCTATATTAATTTATGACGACCAAGTTTATAGAGATCTAGTTTTCATTTATGGAGATCAAGATGACCTGTGAACTCGGAGGAATTTGCTGCCCTGTCTTGCGATAGTTTAGGGAATACTTACCTAACTGCCACAGGCTATTTCGTTTATCTATCTCTATAGCATACATATGGAAGTTTGTGAATCTTACAGTCTGCTTATCTGATATATTCTTTCGAATGTAAAGCGTACAGAAAATACGGACTTGAGTTGACAATAGTTCAGTTTGCGTTTAACTAATCATTTATGTCCAAGTCTTTTTGATGTTTATTTGTTATTTAATAAAGTGATTCATGATACATAACCTACTCAGCGTTCTGTTTCACTTCGAAAGCTTAATCAATGTTACAAAAAAGACAAAACCTCCAATCGCTAGTAAATATTTATCTAAACAAAAGCCCAAGCAGCAAGATATCAAAACAAAATCCTGTATCCCATACGGATATTGTAGCCAGGTATCAAAAATTTTTTTGCTTCTAGTCCATAGTCTCGATGTAGCAGACTAATATAGTCAAAATCCTGTCTATCGTCAGGAGCGACTTTTATTGCTACATATGTCAAAACATTTCGCTGGACTTCTATACAATCCAAAGGTTACTCATAAAATAGACACAAATTGCTTCTTGATGACATATGTAAGTATCAATCAGTATGTTTTATTACGCTCTAGAGTGGAAAAAATTGTATGCCTATTTTTAAACTTTTCCTTACCTTCAAATTAAACCTTTCCCGACAGGAGCAGTTGCATAATTTTATTTGCAAGCTTCTCCTATCTAAGCTGTATCAATTTTCTATATTTTTGATAATTTACCTGAAAAAATATAAATGATCAGTACTAAATTACATAAAGATTCGAATTTTAGAACTGGCAATCTTTAGAAACAAGATGTTTTAAAAGATATCAAATATTTATTATATTTTTCATTAGACATGCTTAAATATTTGTTAACAGGCCGTTTCTTACAGCTCCAAAAGTATTAACTTTTTACTCCACACAGAGATTAATAGACAATGGACATGGTCCAAAGTATTTTCCGAGACGTATTTTTTTTGTCTTACTATCTTGGGACAAAGAACGTTCAATACAAGGAACAATTGGACTTAAACTGCAAATTGTTCAAGTTATAGGCAACTGGCGATTTATCTTACGAGAGATTTTAATACATGACTTCAGAATATTTGATGACATAATATATAATAATCATGACAACAGTCATATAATAACCAATTAAATATAATACTTAGTTAATAAATTTATTAATTTGGCTTATATTTGAAATCATCATAACAGGAACAACAATTTATTAGTTATCTATATGTATAACTTACATTTTATTTTTTAATATAATCACTTTATTATGGTTTATGTAAAAAGTATATGATGAGGTTATTTTGTTTAAATGAAACTACTACTAATCTTGCAGTTCAAATTGGATGGTGACAAATTATGGGTTGAATACTTATAAGATTTCATTAACATTTATAATATAAATAATAATAACAAATCGCTTCTTCTTATATTTCAAAACACTTTACATTAAAACTGCGGCGAGCGATCTCGCACGTTTCGGTCAAAGAAGACTTTAATATGAGTGCTTCGGATATTTTTCTATAAAACAAGAATTATTTCCACCTCAGACTAAAAACGTTTTAATTTGAATCATGTAATTTGAACACCTAAAAAAGAAACTCCGAGGGATATAAAGGAATTTAATTTTATAAATCCTGCCAACAGTGGCGGTATTTTATTTATAAATTTGACGCCCATTGGGGATTCTTATTATATTTAACTACTGTCTGATATTATGTATAAAATTTTATTTCTGCGAATTACTTAAAAGTATAAAGACTGCAAACCTGGCTCAGATGACATTTGTATGTGTTTATGTACTGGAATAATTAAAACGTAACTAATCTTTTATACCACGAAATAAAAGGAATAAAATTATATAATCTGGCCATCTAGATGTGAATTTGTAAGCTTGTGTGTTTTTTATTAATTTCGAATGGGCTGAATCGATATTTTTAATTTGAATAATTGATCAAATTAGCAAAACAAAATTCAGGGTTCCTGCGTGATGGATCTGTTTGTCGAATCAAAATATATGTTCCACAATCTAAACCAGTGTGTATATCAAATTAATTATAAAACCGATGAAAAAGTTAATCATGGTAATAAACATGTGATCTTCAATGTCCTTCCCTCTTCTCTAAACATTTGTCACTTAAAATAACACAGAAAGAAGCCCTGTTTTTTTATTTAGTAACATTTACGTATGTCACTTGCTACAAAGAAATAATATATTTAAACTAGCTGACCCGGCGAACTTCATGTCGCCCTATAATCAAGAAATATCTGTTACCTTTTTATCTGATTGAAGTTAATTTCTTTATTAAGTATAACTGACCCAACAGACAATGTACTGTCTTCTTAACTGTGATTATTGAATTCTAATTGGTATATTAACAGATCAAAATTATTCCAAAAAAAAGTATTTATTATTCTAATGCTTTATTCTAACTACGTGAATATTACTGCGAGTGACACATTATTTTAAAAAAAAGTGAAATACTCTTGTTATTTTTATCTAGTAATTTTCGATTTTTTATACATAAGAACCTTCTCCTAATAATAACAAGTACAACAAAAAGAGAATTAGTGAAATCGGTCTAGCCATTCACGCGTGATGCCGTGATCAAGGGAAAAAGGGATTAATTTTTATATACATATATAGATTTACACAGTGCTATAATCCGCCTATACGATCTAAAGATATGTACAATCCTTAATTAAGTAACATTCCGTATCCATAATTAAATTCAACAAAACCTTATTTTCAATTTTATTTTCTTTTTCATAACACAAGTAAAAGGGGAAAAAATAATTAAATATTAAAATCAATTCGAATATTTAAATTAAGGACATACAACAATATAAAAATTTGATCGTATAAAAAAAAATAAAACCTGTCAGTGAAAATAAGGAACGTTTGAAAACTACTGAATATAATTTACAATCAGAGATGCATGTTTTGTTTCAACCGTGTAAGTAACAATGTCTTAGGCCTACTCGTAATATAAAAATTAATTATTCTTATTAATTTTGTTCCTCTTCGTAAGTTTTAACCAATTTAATATATGCCTAAACATTTTTATTGTATTCCAAAACAAATAGATTTTAATATGATAGACATTTAACTTAAAATTTAATCTTCCTTGGAAAATATTCTGTCTTGAGATAAAACAATTTACTTCAAAAATATACAGTATGACTTACAGTTTACGTAGTGCAGCACAAATAAAACAAATGTTCTAGGTACTTCCACGAAAAATATTTTCATACTAGAGAAAGGAAACATATATTTACAATAGAATATTAAATTATAAATTATAAATAAAAGTATTCACATACTTTATTTTTTAACAACAACGTTGTACTGTTAAAGAGGTATAGGGAAGGTATGAGATTAAAATATTTAATATGTAAATTGAATTATACGTATTCAATAAAGCAAAAGCCATTTAATTAAAATTTCCATAACAGGTTATTGTTGATTTGGATAACGATTATGATTGAAATTTATTATAAAAAATATACTTATTTTTTACTTCTGAAAACTTGTAAATGACAACTTATATTTAAATTTCTATAAATATATACTATACAAACATTTATAAGACAAAAAACTTTTATATATAGAAGATAAATATATAATTCACAAAGTTATCACTCAAAAGACCTATCAAATTTATGTCTAGTTAGTTTTATCAACTCTGAATGCAGACTACAATGAAGTCGTTAGGAGCAATGGAGGAATGCCATTTTGCAGGAAAGGAAATTCTTTTAAAGATTTTCTACAATAGGTAGTAGTTATGCTGGTTTGCTGAAATACTATCTTTTATATACTCTTGCAATATTATCTATTATAAAATTATATTGTAGTTTTAGTATTGTTATTTATTACATCGATGCAGAAAATTTATATATTAATAAAATATATAATAATTCTATGGCTAAATCAACATTTTAACAAGCTTATTTTAATTTTGTAGAAAAATATCAGGCAAATTTAAATATTTCATGAGAGTATTCAAACGTGTTTTTATTAACAATCAAAGTCTTTTCAAAGTACCTGCATTATATATCAATTTTCTAATATGGTTCAATTATACTATTTTATCAATCGTGACGAAAGTGCAAGTTACTTGAAATATAAACTTATGTAAATATAAATGCTGAAACCAATGAAGTAAGTGTAAAGAAATATGAACAACATAAATTACGTCAATATAAATTGTTACCTTATATTTGAATTTAGTTTTCAGGCATGTTAAGCTATGGCTCTCAAGTCTACCTCAGAACAGACTTCTTACATTAATACAAATATAAAGAAACGTCCAAAGTATCCTAAAACTAAAGTAAACAATACAAAATATACAACAGCAAGATATAAACGAATTAAGAAGCCGATCAAGACTCCAAACTCTGCAAAAATATATAAGATAAGGTACAATAACAAGGATAATTTTGTAACAGAATCAGATGCAATGGATTCTTACTTCTCACAATACCAAATCCCACAAGCCTACAATTTTCCAGTAATAGTTACAGAATGGAATCCATTAATGAGTACATTAAAAGTTCCAAATGTGTATACCACTCCTGTACATAACATACCAATGACAATAATACCTCCTCAAATAATAACCCCGCTGTGCCCATACAAATGTCCTATAATTTCACCAGATCCAATGCTTGCTCATGTTGTTCCTAATGTAGTAATTAGTGACGTAATACCAGTTGGATGTAACCTATATAGCCCTGAAAACGAACCTATACTTAATAATGTACAAGAAGCGATAGTTCCAGCTGTAGATATTGAGAGTTATCAATCTAATTATAATACACATGAAGATGTTCTAGCTACACAAATAGCAGAAGCTACTATTGATGAATCTGTGAAAGATGCAAAAGATTTAGTAGAATACTACTTAGCCTTGCCAAAGGATCTATTTCCTAATGCACGGATGTTAGCAATGGACCCGAATTTCATAATAGATGAATTCTGCAAAATACCTGATATAACTGAAGACGTTTCATGGATATTAGATTTAGAGTTTGGTATACCACGAGCACCAGTAACCAGAGCCATAGCTGTTTACGATGTCAAATTTAATAGTATCCATTGTAAGAACACTCCCCGCGCAATTCATCCCGGTTTCGAGAAATGCCACGAGGACTTTAAACGGGTGCTGCTCTTTTATTACGACTGTATCGTATCTACTTGGTACAATGGATATATTATTATGAATTATGACAGATCCGTGGAGAATTTTCAGTCATGGCTGCTTATACCAATGCAGATGTTCGGTATGTGTTGGCCCTAGCATGTAAGCATGAAATGTAATCATAGGATTAAGCATGGTATGTTATAATTACGATGAATGTAAATAAATTTTGTCATCATTATTTGTATGGCTATATTTTAATAAAGGATGAATGCAACTACGTTTATTCTTTAATGAAACCTTTATAAGGGGCTATTATTTTATATTTGATCAAATTACAACATAATTAAATTACACAGACGTTCCAGTAAAGCTTCATGTTGACACCCGTTGGTGACGATAAACACGTTGATATTTCTTTGATGTGGATGTAATTTCATTTCGAATTCTCTTGTAGGTATCACCTATGTGACCCACATTAACGAGGTAGCATTTATACTAATCGGAAGCGTGATATTTAAGTTTAAAAATTTTAAAATGTCATAATTTTAAAACAGACTCTAAATAAAATATTATTTAAACGTGTCTTAAACTTTTCAACTAAATATAAAATACAAATAATTATACTATAATAACAATGAATAACATTTTTCATTTCAAGAGCGTATTACGATTTGAGTAAACATCGGAGAGATAAAATGTAAACAAGGTTCATCTGCTAATAGTTGAAATGGAATGTTTCCCGTATCGGGGAATCCAACAAATTTAATATATTGACCACAGCCACGTTTCGAATTAATGCCGTTCTGTAATTAGCGGGTTTGCCTTCAATCGATAGCAAAATGCGTTTGATTACTGCCTCTTACTATGGTTGAACTTTTTATTTATCAGCTGCATTTATCGACGATTATAATGTATAGGTGAATTAAAATAAATAATATGTATTATTTTAATGTTTAATCATTAACAATAGCACTGTGCAAACGAACATTGCGTCAACAAAAATAAACTCTTAATTTAAACAATACTTTATAGAATATACATAATATAAACATCACTGGAATATATTTTCTAAATGCACTTACATAAAAACAATATGTGATTTGGTAATTTTCACATTCTTGTTTATATTTCTTATATTTACCTATACAATATGTAATACTATGCTATACTAAAAGATACATTTGATCTTACGAATACAAAATCACTTAAACTATTGTATAATATAATATACGTTGAGATAGATATTAAAGATGATTCAATGATATTTACAAAGAACGATTTGTGTAAATGAAATAAATAATTAATACTGCGAACACAATATAAGTTTCTACGGCAAGAAATATTTACATCTTACATAAAGAAAGTGATTGGAATTACAATACTACATATAATACCTCCTACGATTATATAAATTACAGGTGAAAACATAATATGTGATATAATGAAATTTACAATGTTTACATAAAGACAAATTAATATTTTATTTACATTACATATGATCCGTGAATGATAATTATATTGTTTGTAAACAAGCAGTGATTGAGTTTAAGGGCGTTTATTAATGTCCATACCAGTAAATATTGCAAATTATTTTGTAATTATAAAATAATAAATCAATAATATTAAATGAATACAAATCAATCTGCAATATTTCATTTGCCACAAATCCAGGCTGATAAAGAATCTCGCGGAACAAGCTCTCTTCAACCTTTAAATGGACTTTGAATAAAACGCCTCAGAAAACGTTGAATTTAATCAACATTTTTGAAGGTAACCGTTGAAACCGTAGCTCTTAAAACCATTATTATGATCTCAAGGCGAGTCGTGTACACTTTGATTAATATGAAACTATAAAATCAGTACATTGTCTATCCATAAATTCAGTATTCACAAACACTTTTATATCAACTTTTAATGTATTTTATGAGTTAACAGTTTGCAATATCCACGGGACGAACTTAGATATTCTTGTGCAAACGCCGGGTAAGTTCGCCTCCCCACAACCGATACCCCAGCTTATGATGCCGGCTAGGAAATATTTTTGATCTTTTCCTTTGACCTGAAAGTTAAATAAATACGTGAGCATCATGAAAGACCTGTGAAACATTTAGTATTCCAATGTGTAAGGAAATATAAAAGTCCTTTTATTATTTTCTCAACCGAATTCGCTGGTTTTCGTCTCATTGTGATTCACAAACTACAAAAGAAATATTAAGTTGGATCTGCGAGTTGACATTATCCAACTTTAAATGCGGTTACTGTCCTATCCATTAAAGTTATTCCTCCTCTAGGAAGTCTATTTTTAAAATCTGTTTTAAAACTTGAGTATTTTCAGCGACCCATTTAGGAATAAAGACCATTATGCTATCTTCTCCATATATAAACTGTTAGGTCAGCGTTCGAAATAATCTCGGATTTTCAAGTGGTTTTATTATTCCCTAGTGTTTCATTCAAAAACATTTTGTGTTAAGCATTTATTTAAAATACGTGCTTTTGTAAAATGAATCAAGAATTTTATTGAAAAAAATGAAATGAAAATTGTAAAACGAAAATAAATTTTAAAAAAATCATAAAAGATTTTTATAGATGATGGAAATGCTAAGCAATAATTTAATAACAAATATATATGTAGTTTGGATTATTATTAAAGTATTAATTTAAGTAATCTTCTATATATATAAAAATGGATTGCTGTTCCTTAGTCCCGCTAAAACTCGAGAACAGCTGAACGGATTTGTCTTATCTTAGTCTTGAAATGTTCGTGGAGGTTCAGGGAAGGTATAAAAGCTGAGAAAAATTTATTCATTATTGGGAAAACCATAAAAACAGCCCTTTTCTATTTCCCATACAAATGTTTTTTTGACATTAGATTTGACAACTAACTAATATGTCAATCATTCTGTCGCACTTCAAAACACGGAGATTTATAGCTTACAGGTAAACTCCAAAAATATAAATAAAAAAACGTAATAGATATTTCTTGATTATAGGGCGATACGAAGTTCGTCAGGTCTTCTAGTTGTTACGTATATAATGTTGTTAATTTAATTTTGTTCTAGTTGTTACGTATATAATGTTGTCAAATTACATTATTTTAGAGTTGTTCAAGGGTATATTACCTGTAAGGGTCCCCCCGAATCTCCCTGACAAGAGTCGTGACCCCCTCGCTCGTGTCCCGCACAAAGGAAAATATCCGGAATGAACTCATGTCTTCCAGCTTGTAGAAACATTGATTTACATCTATCATTCGATACTATTGGTACTTGGACCTAAAAATATATATAAAGTTATAATATATACTATAAAAAGCTTCATTAACGTTACAAGGAAGGCAAAGAATAACATTTTCTCTTATTTGATATATAATTGAATATAATGTTACTTCCTGGTAGCTGTCCCGTGTTTCTTAATTATTTTTATGTATCATTATGATATTTTGTTTTAATATCATAGGACATAATGAAAATTAAGATAGATATAACAATGCATTAAAATATATTTAGTTTCAGTTAAACCACACCAGGCCTAGATAAAATAGGCTCTTTTAAACCAAACTAATATTTTTCGGATTATACTACGCGAATTTATTTTTGTAAAAAACTACATACTCCCTACTTTTCAGCAACCGTGATCACGAGCAGACGAGATGTGATCTCGTCTTTTTGATCCGAAAAATATTAGTTTCATTTAAATAAATAAAACGAGCGAAAATCTTAGATCTCAAAATATAGTCTTGTTTTGTTTATAGTTTATTGCTGTACCTCTTGCAAAACGGAAGGCAAAACTCCACCCTCAGATAATCTTCCCCAACCCGTGACGGTAGCATTTTCACCGACCAGAAGGTCATCGCTCGCTGGAAGGCATATCGGGGATATATGAGGCGCGAACTGTACCGGCGAATCCAGCTTCACCAACGCCAAATCATATTCGTATGTGTAAAAATTGTATTTCGGATGGACCGCCTTTCTAGCCACACCTCTCTCAGAATACGGGTATTGTTCAGATACTGTTGAGAAATCGTATTCGCCGACCCTTATCCGGATTTGCGATGTAAGAAGACTGAAAAAGATGTCTCGCAATTAATTGACAAGATAATAAGAGAGAATATTAGGTATTTCGACTTGTCTTCTTTTCAAACTAATTTAATACTTATAGGACATTGCTACAACTAGCTTGTCAACTTGGACAAATATGGTTAAAAATTAAATTTAAAAAAATATATATTTTTTAGATTACTTTGTAATTAGATTGTTGTTGATGAGTATTCACGTAAGTCCAATTTCTTTGTAATACCTTTTTACATAAAAACTAGATCCTTTCTTACGTGGTTTAGTGATTAAATGATTCTTTTAATAATAAAACAAGCACTACAAGTGAAGGTACTTCAAACTGTTTCTAACAACCCAGTAGAAAGAGAAATAAAATATAAAATAAGAACCATACGATCGTCAAGTAGAACCAAGAAAGCCTTACTCATCAACACAATGCCCAGCGGTCGCTATCCAGCCCTCGTTGATAATAGCACCTCCACATCTATGAGTCGATGAGAAGCCGAAGAAGGAGTTCCGTCTCACAGACACCTGCCATGGCCAGCGACCGAAACTGGAGTCTTTGCCACCCATTATCCTCGTTTCTGGACGTGGCCACATCGCTCTCGTGCCACATTCTGAAAACAATAATGAAAGGCTAATTATAATAAAGTCAAGTTTTGACTAAGCTCCGAATTAAACGAATCCTCTGTTCTATAGATCTTACTCAAGCATCTATGTCATTACTGTAACTACAGTTGAAAACATGATTGATTATGTTCGAGTATATTGCATGATGAGCAATGTCTTATTAATAATAAAACGACTATGTACTTCTTTTACTTGTTAATACTAATTCATATTATCAAATTTAAGAATATATAATAGTGAATTTGATTGCTCGACAATTTTTTTAGATCCTTACCGTTATAATGGCTGTAAAGCAATTTTAATTTATATTTTAATCTTATATCGAAATTTTTCTAGTAGATTATAGCCATAGACATAAATTATTAGCACAACAAACCTGGTATATGTAAATTAAATGTACAAACCGACACTATTCGTTGCGGCTGTTGTTTGTATAGTAGCGGGCGTCGACTCGTCGGTTTTGTTAATCATGTTTAAAGCTGGATCCTTTGGTTTTATGTAATTCTTATGTGGCTTGCTGGTTGTGGTTGTAAACTTCTTTGTGGGTTTTGGTTTCCCTACTGGTTTCTCCCAATTCGGTCTCGGTTTTGTTACGAATATTGGCTCAGTTGTAGCCTGCCAATGTATTGTGTTCAAGTTGTTTGGACGCGACATCATATGAGCTGTAAATGCATAAAATCAGGTTAACATTACTTAATACGATAATATTCCGCTATTTCATAAATATTAACAACACCATCTAGAGTTAAGTAGTCAAACTAAATTATACGGAGGCCTTACCTGAAGCAATGCTGTTCTCTGAGTGTTGTTCGGAAACAGCCATAGGGCGCGCGCCCATAAAACTAAGACTAGACGAAATTTTGTTGTGAGGACTAGCTTCCATTTCATTGCTTGGCCTATGTACATTTTGGTACTTATTTACACTGCTATAAGTTAGTTTATGAACTATATCACTGTTTTGCTCGCTACTTGCATCTAAACTGCTAACAGAGGGCAGGTTTATTTCAGGCGGGCGGTAGCTATATGATGTGGGAACGCCATCTATGGGTTTGGTCATGAACGACGGCCGTGCCGTTTGCGAAGAGGGCCGTATAGTTTGAGTAGTACTCGGAGTAATAGTTGTTACGCTGGTCGTGGTGTATGATGGCGTTGTTGACGGACGATCGGTAACTGTAGTTGGAATCGGCGTCTCTGGAACATTATATAATATAATCATAAATTAGCTTAATACTTTAGGACACTATTAAGTCAGTGATGGCCTAGTGGTTAAAAGGCCCGCCTCTCATGCATGAGGGCGCGGGTTCGATCCTGGCCCGGGCAAGTACCAATGTGATTTTTCCGAGTCATATGTACTTTCTAAGAGTATTTAGACATCACTGATTAATGCTGGTTCCCAAAGAGGGTTGATGTCAGGTAGGCGGCCGGATGTAAAAACAATTAGCGAAAACTATTCACAACATATAGGGCAGACCCTGGCTAAAGCTGAGAAATTACCAGGTAGAATTAGAAGACTTTAGGACACTATTGTTTTTAGTCTAAAAATATATAGATTCTTTTCGCACCTGTTATAGGTCGGTCGGGCATTCGGCAGCATGAGCCGAACATGAAGCCATCTACACAGACTCCCGCGTGTATTCCTCCAACTCTGTTGCATTCCTGTACCCACATGCAAGCTCCTCTCGAGCCGCCGACCGTACACGACTTGCGGGACATCTGATAACCTAGAAAATTAAATCAAAACCTTATTATATGATACAATTGATACTAATTGATAATGAATTTTATTTAGTACCAAAAAAAATACACAGGCAAAATATAAAAGTATCACTTGCTTTGAATTTGTAATGTTTTTTAAATAGAATATTTGTAAAAAATAAAATAATATGTCACGTATTACAATTGAATTAAAAATATTTAAAGACATCTCTTAGAATAATTGTTTATCTAGTAAGTTAATAATCAGAGAGTTACAGATGTTCATCTAAGAGATGGCGTTACTTATACCATTAATTATATTTAGTGCTATTCTAAAACTAATTACACAAAACTTAGAGAGCGTAACAAAGTAACAGGCTGTCTAGATTTAAAAAGTAATATTATAATAAACAGTGTGTATGTTGGAAAGTCATTTCGTTAAATTAACCAACCATTTCTCTTTTAAGTGTGTCTGTTAGTATTAATTACAAAATAACAATATATTTATTATTTTTTCACTACCATTTTAAATAAACGAAATTCATGATTTAACAATATCCTTAAAGATTTTTTCTGAAATATATGTAATTTCATAGAAAATACCCACTTAATCCATTAAATAAGATGACAAGGTCACCCTGAAATTTTCCAATGAATAATGGGTCATTTTAAAAATATATTTTAAAAGAACGTCTTAACATTATAATTCAATATAGAAATGAAAAAAAACTTAAAACTGCTTTGAATAAGGTTTATTTTGTATTGATTGCTATCGATATATTTAGCTGAATTGGGCACTATAGCGTTGAAAATATTTTCACTTACCGAAACCGAAACTATAAGTGCGACAAGGCCTTTCAATGATTGTGTTCACTTATTGGCCTTTTTGTATATAATCTATCGACAAGGAAAACCTTTTACCTCATAACGAATGTCTCACGACACTTTTGTGTAATGTTAGAACTGAATTTATAAAATAAAAAGGCTGCTTATTGTATGTTAGATAGATTTCGTTGTTCCTTTTCATAGCTATGTCTACGATTTCTAAATAAAAACCACCCTTTTATCTTAGTCAGGCCAATCAAAACCTTATTTATTTACTGTTAAGGTAAAAACCACGTTACATTTATTTGAAAATCATGTATGAATATACATATATGAATATGAATATCATCCCACATATACAAGTTGACAGTACATATATCTTACATGGCATGCCTGTACAAGGATCATTTCAAAGCTTAAACTGGCATTCTAGACACGCTTTGTCGGCACATTGAGTCGTTAAGATCGTACATATGGTATTAAGGGCGATGTTGTTACCTTATCAAATACATATTTTTAAAATGTCTAAGTTAATAATAGGACATTAACACGCGTGAGAAATTTTGTTTAATAAAAATATCAGTTTTTAAATAACATCTCTTATGACGTAATTAATCGCCCCTAAGATCTTTAAGCTATAATTAGTTTGTTACTGATGTAGATAATTTATCAATATAAGCTTGTAAAGTTATTCTTAACATTTACTACTTATATATACTATATTTTAAAACAATGTTTATTTATAAGGTATATCTTTTAGATGGTTTAATAGTATATTCATGTTTAACGACTGTCAGAGTTTTTTATTGGAAATGTTTTAAATAAAATTGGTTAATAATGAATTTATTTCAAAAAGAATTTCAGCTCGCTGCCAGCTAATGAGCTTCCGTTATTTAAAAGCCTTTTGAGGAAGTAATGTCCTGTAATTGAATTTCAGTGAGGATTTTCATTGGAATTATTAATGGCAATACTATGGCTAGTCTAGATATGTTTTAAAAATAATAAAAAATATAGATTTATAACCTTGAATCTTTAGATATAATATATAGCTTTACACTTAAATTAAATTTACATTTATGATTTTTTTAAATACATAGACATATATCATGAATAGTAAAAGGCGATTATATAAAAAAAAAGAAAATCTTCAAAAGTATTGAATACCCATGACCCAGTATGACCCAGAAGTCTAATACATTAAATTTACAGATAGTTCATTATTCTTTTGTACTGCAAGTAAACTATAGAAGATATTATGCAAAGAATACGATAATACAGGAATAAAACTGTAGTGGAAGAAACTTCAGCAGATTAACTTTGGAAAAGTAAATAATTTTCTTGAAAACGTTCGTAAAGTTACCTCCACAGAACTCCACATCCGCGGCAGTCAGTGGAAAATTACATATTCATAAGAGAAAACAAGTACACTAAGAAGTATATTCCTTTATTTTTCCTTCACAACCTCACATGACATTACATAACACATAACATATAGAATTTTACACTCTCACAGTAATACACAATGAAGTGCTTTTAACACTATACTTCATTCACAGCTCTTATGGATTTAATTACGAGCCTAAAGAGGCCTACAAAGTACAAAGTAAGATATAGAAGATCTTACTTAGCAGTGATGTCTTCACCTACACTGAAATTTGTCGAAATTAACCCAATTATTTAACCATTATATAGCTTTATTTTAATGTGTAATAAGATATTTTAATTAAAACATCATTTGCTCTTATGATTTAGTTTAGTAAAATATAACAATTAGTATATTTGTTATAGCAAAAGCCTTTATTTTTTAAGGCAGATACCGTTGAAAACATATATAAATGTACAATATTTATTAAACAACTAAACTACAGTGACAAGAAATTAATATACATATGTATGTTATGTGAGGATATTGAATTATTCGCAACTATCTGAAAAATTATAATAACTGACAAATGAATCATAATTTTTTTCCCGACTTGTTTTTTATGAAGCATGTCATATTGGGCTGATCGTCATAGTGTATACCTATATGTCTTGAAGGTAGTGATTGAAAGGGATCAGAATAAAAAGGAACTAATTGCTTAAACAAACCCTAGAAGACAGTTTAAAACAAGATCAATGCCATAGATTTTTCTTTAAATATAATACGGATACAAAATAAACTCTAAATAAAACAAATTACAAAGAATAAATTACACCAATTTCATTATTTCCTTATGTTTGAAATAAACAAATGTTATGCCACTTTCCTTAAACACATGACGGAATTCAAACAAAGGCCATTGTTAGGCAAACCCCAAAAAATTTTGAAAAGTAATCATATTTGTAACAAAGGAACGAAATGATTAGCTCTTTATGAAACAAAGTATAAGTTTTTTGAAATCTATTGTGTAGGAAAATCACATAATGATAAATTTCAAAATATTTTTACAATCCTAATTTGTCTTCGACTTAATAATGCATTATGAACATAAAAGTAAAACGCTGTGTGTGTTTTTTTGTTACATAAACTCCAAAAACTTTGTATTTACAGTACTGAAATAGCATATGTGATAAATTTTGTTACTCTTAAATAGATGCTCACGGTTATTAAGCTGATATTTGTTTTAAAAAAAACAATACATAGGAAGAATATAATGGTTGATAAAATTAAATTATAACTTAACGCAATTAAAACAGTAGTTATTAAACAATTCAAAACTATTACAAACAACAAAACAAATCTGAAACTACAGCAACACCACATAAACGAAACTTTAAAGCAACTAAATGCCAATAATGTTACATTTTCACTAACCGTAACAAAAGGATCGGTAACTGCCCATAGAATTTCCCCGCATTGTCATACAAGGAAATAACCATTCTTGTTCAAGATAAAGCAAATTGTGTCTTATATAACTTTATTTCCTTATGAGATGTGAACAAAATGTAGTAAGTCTAACAGAATGCACTAACAAATGTAACAATATGAGGCGCAGTCTTTGAGATTTTTTATAAATAAATTGAACATTTCAAAGCGACTACATATGTACATATGCTTGTATATTGCTACTTTTATTTATGAAATGATTATGAGTTTGATTGGGTTTTGTCGAATTTGTCTTAAATATTTTTATTCGGATCACACGGACCATATGAATGTAGGTAATATTTTGATTATGAAACAGTATCGAAACAACTTCAACCCACCGTATGCGACTTGTATATTAGAATTCAAATTCCGTATCATAATTATACCTTAACAGGTTTAGATTATTTGTCATTTTTATTTATATTTCAAAAAGATAATAAGTTGCATGGAATTTTAGTTGTAAATATTTAGAACGATATATCATATAGGTAATATCTCTTAAGATAGTTTTTAATAACATAGAAAATATTAGAGCAATATATATAAATTAATTAAAACAAGATCCTAGGCTATTATCAAAAATTCTAGTTGTTCTATGCTATTATCGAAAATATACATAATTATAATCATACCAAGGTTGCTTGGTAAAATTTTAACAAGATACACAAAGGTGAAAAGTTGTTTTCATGTACATATAATTATGTATATACAAACAAACAATATAAAGAAAAGAAAATTTTGGCAACATCACATAACAAATAACAAGTGAGGTACAACATAATATGTCCAATCTTAATTAGCGGCACGAATGTTCATTGTATTAAATTTGAACCATGTTCCTTAACTAATTAGCCCAAATACCACGCGGGAGGTATTCCAGGAAATATTTCACAGCTCAAAACTGCTGGTAATCTTCACTCCGTAATAATTTCGATGCGTCAAAACCAGTAGCTATTAAGATCCTGGTTACCGTTAAATACCAAGGACGGTGCTCACTCCCAACTACTAAGGTACTCAGAACTCGGAAATTTGTCGCTCGTGACTAGTATGGCTATCTATGAAAATAGTATTTTATTTAAAAGGAAGCCCTATATTTGTTTGTTTTATATAGCATTGTCGAAATTAAAATGAACACATGCTTACGTAAACTTATAATTTTTGTCTGAGTCTCCATTTTCTCTCTGTCTGGAGTTAAAAGAAGAACAACTAATTATTTCAAAATAAAAATACCTAGTTTCTATTTTATGAACATTTCTTCATTTAAGAAATACATATTTCTTATGTCTTATTATCATAGTAGCATTACCAATATTGTTAATATTATTAATCGTGTTAGAAGACCAATGGTAA